TATGATCCTTCACTAGCAAAGTAGCACTTTCAGGTCATTTCTCCCTTAGCACTTGTCCACTGGCAATGCACAAATTTGCTTGCGGATACAAACACGATAATTGAACGAACTCTTCAATCTGCCATCACCTGAGAAGGACAGCTCAGAACTTTGCCGTTAAAGAGGGAAACTCTAGGAAGTTTGACGCATATTTGGGGGAACTTGTGTTTAGGTTGATAGCTTCCTCAGTTTTCAAAATTTCAGTAAGATATCGTGAACATTTTACGTTAAGAGCGTTTGACAGTGATAAGAGCGAAAGAGATAGTTTTGCTTAAAATGGCTCAGAAATGCAAGTCATATTAGTAAATCATCACTGCATTTTTTTTGCAACTTTTTAAGTTCCATATATAAGAGGGAAAGGCTGAAGAGCCATCATGTCAAGAGTTCAAGCGAAACCTCAGTTAAAAAGCGTATGTGGAGACATTTACTTTTCATTCTTCAGATTCTCCTCTACGTTTTTGCTAAATGAGTTTGTTTTGGCAACTGTGCTGAAAAGCTATGAAAGCTTTAACGAGAAACAATAAAGGGTGACGATAAGAGCTTCCAAGAATGTTTCAAAGCCTGTTAAAAAAGACAGGCTTTTGGGAAGTATTTTTAAAATTTAAAACAGTCTAACCTAACAAAAACTTGCATACAAAGAGTGTCTTATGTGCCAACTATAGTAACATAGAAGTTTCTCTAATAAAAACTCTAAAGGGACCAATCTCGTTATGTTTTATACCAAGATATAAAGAACCGATCAATCAAGAAGTTTGATTGTCATTACCTACTTAGAGGAAAATAGTCGTATGAATATCATTCAATATAGTGCTATAAGGAGCATTTAGGCTTCAAATGGATTGGTATCCTTTTACGGATGAAGAAAAAGAAGTTCTCCTGAACTCGTGGAAACATCTCGAACCGCTCAAACAGTCGATAGGGTGCGATATCTACGAAATGATCTTTAATCAGGTAACGTTAATCCTATGCAGGAACTGCTATGTAATCTTTTCTCGAAATATTGCTCGGCTCTTTCAGTGCCCGGAAGTGCGGAAGTTGTTTCCAAAGATGAAGTTTGTGCATTCGAAGCCAGACAAGAAGAGTTGTGAGTTCGCATTTCAAGCTCTTCGATTTGTACAGGTGAGCAAATCTCATGGCTTTTCAATGACTATAATCATATTTGATTAGAAAAAGTCTTCACTCTTGTGAAGGAAAATTTACTAAAGATGTTTTCCAATTTCCTCAACACTTGCTCTTCATTTTCCGAACTTTTTGTGAAAATGCTTAAGTTATTATGCTTTGATAATTTCATTATATTTCCATTTAAAATTTACATTGATGCTTTCATTCTAAATTAAATTTTTCCTGACGTTTCTACAACACATTTAGTTGAATTTTCCATCTAAATCCTGCTGAAATTAACAATTTTGACTACAAC